GAGACTGCTCCCTCAGTACAAGCAAAGGGGCTGCAGGGAACGAAGGGAAAATGTATGCAGAGGCCGTATCAGACCATCGCAGAGTCCGAGATAAAGAGAGAATCACATCAGGAGCAATCGATGGGACTGTAGAAAATGAAAGAGCTAAGCTATATGTGGAGGCCCTAACAGACCACAGCAGAGCCCAGGAAATCTGAGAAGAGAAAATGACAGGCCACAGAATGTTACAGAGATGGGACACAGCAACAAGGGGTCACAATTGGAAGTTGAAGACTTAGATGAATCACAGAGATGTTTGGAAGTATTTCTTCAGTCAGAGTTGTCAGGAAGTGGAACAATCTGGAGAGTGATGTAGTGGAGGCAGGATCAATACACAGCTTGAAGAAGAGGTATGAAAGTAACATGGAGCAGGAAAAGTGACCTTGTAGCAACCAGTAAAGAGGCGGGACCAGGAGCTATGACTCGGCCCCTGCTACCATAACCACAACTAGGTGAGTAAACACATGCACACACACACAGGATCCATACATAGCTTTAAGCAGAGGTATGATAAAGCTCACGGTTCAGGGAGAGTGACCTAGTAGTGACCAGTGAAGAGGCGGGGCCAGGAGCTTGGACTCGATCCCTGCAACCTCAGCTAGGTGAGTTCAACTAGGTGAGTACAAAGGTTTGCAACAAGACTAGTCCCAGAGCTAAGGGGTATGTCCTACGAGGAGAGGTTAAGGGAACTCGACCTGACGACACTGGAGGACAGGAGAGATAGGGGACGCGTGATAACGACATATAAAATACTGTGAGGAATTGACAAGGTGGACAAAGACATGATGTTTCAGAGATGGGACACAGCAGCAAGGGGACACAGTTGGAAATTGAAGACACAGGTGAATCACAGGGATGTTAGGAAGTATTTCTTCAGCCACAGAGTAGTCAGGAAGTGGAATAGTTTGGGAAGCTATGTAGTGGAGGCAGGATCTATACATAGCTTTAAGAAGAGGTATGATAAAGCACACGGTTCAAGGAGTGACCTAGTAGCGATCAGTGAAGAGGCGGGCCCAGGAGCTGGGACTCGACCCCTGCAACCTCAACTAGGTGAGTACACGCATACACACACACACACACACACACACACACACACACACACACACACACACACACACACACACACGCACACACGCTCGCGCGCGCGCGCATATATATAATATATATATATTATATATATATATATATATATATATATATATTATATATATATATATATATATATATATATATTATAGATATGTCGTGCCGAATAGGCAGAACTTGCAATCTTGGCTTAAATAGCAACGTTCATCTGCCATATAGGACAAGTGAAAATTTTGTGTATGCAATAATTTCGCCAAAATCGTTCTGAACCTAACGAAAAAAATATATTTCACTGTGTTTGTTTAGTATTAAATTATTGTAAACAAATCTAAAATATATTTAGTTGGGTTAGGCTAAAATAAATTGTTCTTGTTATAATAAGGTTAGGTAAGTTTTCTAAGATTCTTTTGGTGCAAAATTATAAATTTTTACATTCACATTAATGAAAAAAATATATCTTTAAACGTGTAAGAGAAAATTTCAGAAAGGACTTAATTTTAAATGAGTTCTTGCTAATTGACCAGTTTTACATATTCGGCACGACATATATATATATTATATATATATATATATATATATATATATATTATATATATATATATATATATATATATATATTGGTTTGATTTTCATGATTTGGCTTAGAAATCAGCGGTCGGATGAAATGCCTCCCGATAATGGACATTGCACCTGCTGATCCTCCAGACTTGGAAGAGCAAATGGTGAGGGAGTTTGATTTGATCACAGTGAAGTTCTTTCCCTCTAATACCACTCCTCTCCTCCAGCTCATGGACCAGCAGATCATTTCAAACTTCAAAAAACTCTACATCAAAGCAATGTTTCAAAGGTGCTTTAACATAACCTCGGACTCTGAATTGACCCTAAGAGAGTTCTGGAAAGATCACTTCAATATCCTCCATTGTATAAACCTTATAAGTAAGGCTTGGCAGGGAGTGACTTCCAGGATGATTAACTCTGTTTGGAGAAAATTGTGGCCAGAATGTGTTCTCGACAAAGATTTTGAAGAGTTTGAGGCTGACCCTGGCAACCCTATGCCAGTTGTGGAGTCTATTGTGGCACTGGGGAAGTCACTGGGGTTGGAGGTTGGTGGGGAGAATGTGGAAGAGTTGGTGGAGGACCACAGTGAAGAGCTAACCACTGAAGAGCTGCTAGACCTTAATCTGCAACAACAACAGACCACAGCTCAGGAAATTGCTGCAGAGGAGGAGGAAGAGAGAGGGAAGAAGTTGCTTTCTTCAGAGATTAAGGAGATGGAAAGATGGAAAGATTTATGGAGGAACATCACCCTGACAAAGCTGTTGCAGGCCGTGTATGCGACATGTTCAATGACAACGTCTTGTCTCATTTTAGGCAA